TCTTCTTTGAAGAGTGAAAGCAGGGAGTTTTGAGTGTTTGAAACGGCGTGTGTGGAGAGGACGGGTGGACAGTATTAATGAAGGAGGCAGAGGCTTGGATGTGAGAGGGTAATAAAGTAAACTTGAATGTTGAGCAGCTAAGGGTGTGAGGAAAGGGTGGAACAAGTGGAACTGTAAGGTCTTTTGATCTGAGGCAATCTCATATGCCTGAGAATGTTGAATATGTCAGGCTGGGTTTGGAATCTGGAAGTGTTCTGTAACTCACCTTCCGCACCCTTGCAAGGTTCTAGATTCTTCCTGGTGCAGTCTCCAAGTTGGAGGGATTGCACTTCTGCTGCAGATTTTTTTGGCCTCTGACACACCTACTTGGTTGGAGAGCCTGACCTCTTTGTCTTATCCTTGGGAAACATTATCTTACTTCAACAACAAAATTGCTGGAAAAGCAACTTTCTGAGGAAGGATCACCGGACCCGAAACATTAACTCTGTTTTTCCTTCACAGATGCTGCCAGACCTGCTGAGCTTTTCCAGCAACTTTGTTTTTGTTCCTGAGTTACAGATCCGCAGTTCTTTCGGTTTTTATTATCCTACTGCAGCTCCTCAGTTGCCGTAGTAGGATATCCAACTATGAATGAGTGTATCGTGGCGTGGGATGTAATATGCAGGCCACCCTTCTGTTGAGACCTATTGTCTGTTTCTCTTGCTGTGGCTGCTACAACTTCAGCAACCCATTTCCAGTTTAGATGCACTTTAAACTGGCAATCCTTCCATCAACAGTTTCAGCATGCCACTGTGGCTACTCTGGTTGGGAAACCCGGAAGTGGGATCTGAATGCTGTTGCTCCGTCTCCATTGCAGATTCCAGTGTGTTCAAGATGCAAAATAGATCCTATCGTTTTGGCTGGATATATTGTTTCAAAATTCTGCCCCAAAGCCCTCGTAACCTGTGAGGCGAGACAAATATTGAGATTTCCAGTTTACTCTCGTACGTTATTTGACTTTAAAAGGACAACATTATTTGATCCAGATAAAGAATTTTTTTTGAGATAGTAGGAACTGCAGATGCTGGAGAATCTGAGACAACAAGGTGCAGAGCTGGATGAACACAGCAGGCCAGGCAGCATCATAGGAGCAGTAAGGCTGACGTTTCGGGCCTAGATCCTTCATCAGA